ACACACACACACACACACACACACACACACAAACATTAGATGACGGTATGCTCGTGCACAAACACAAAGTATTATTGAGCTGGATGGACATGAAGAGAGACCTTTTTCTGTCTCTGAACTCAAAATGGCTTCTTGTGGTATTCACGCAGCTCATTTCACAACAGGAAGGGGCACTTCTGAAAGATGATGCACCCTCAGGCTTACAGGACATTTGGAACTGCTTGACGCAGACAACATGCACTGAAGGAAGAGCTTCTAAACCAGTATTTCCCAAACCGACTACTCTGGGGACCTGTTTTTTATTCTTTTACACTCTAATAGGTGATATTTATAAATCGTGATCATGTTCCTGACCATCTTTACTGCCATCTGCACATCACCGTATAATATTTAGAAAAGGTAAACCAACCATTTGGAAGACATGTATGTTTGATAAATGACAACTTCATTTTTTGCATGTGTTGTTGAAAATGATACACATAAATGTTGTGTAAAATATTTTTTGAAGAGACCAAATAAATGCATTTAACAGGCATAGTCTTTCCTCTCAAACAGACTGTAGGCTAGCCTTTCATATTAGATTCAATGTTATAAGTAGGCTACAAGTATCACAACAATACCAGCATTCAGGTTCCCTCATGTGGCTCACAAATATAAATATTAAGTTAAAAGACTGTGGAAGTAATCCTGCAAATATATCTGGCAGCGTTTGGAAATGACTGCTTTAAACTATTGCTTGCGTCACTTTGAGTCTGCTTCGGGGATCACTTCTGTGATTCTCAGAAAAGGAAAAAAGATCCCGATGAAACATTTACGTTACGTCATAAAAGTAAGAGTCTTCGCCATTTAGGGTAGATGAGTGCAAGATCACTACTGCACAGCTCCTTAAAGTCCATTGTGTATTTGTCTGGAACTAACCTGATGCTATCCACTGATGGCTGCAATCAAATAGGACATGGAAGGTATTATGTCACAACAACCTCTAAACCAAAACAGTAAATCCAGTCTAATCGGCACGCCAAATGCAAATTGGTGTCCTAATCTGAGCATTTAATTGGATGAAGTCGGTAAATATCTGCGAGTGGAATACTTCAGATGGTGACAAAGACCTGTTACATGCTCTTGGCTCGTCTCCACTTCATTGAGTTGGGGGAGGGATGAGAAAGAGGGATAAAGTCTCACAGCAGATGAGTTGCAGAGAAGTAGAGAGAGAGAGAGAGAGAGAGAGAGAGAGAGAGAGAGACGGAGAAAGAGAGAGAGCAAGAGAGGAGGAGAGCGAGAGCGAGAGAGAGAGGAGCAGAGAAGGAGAAAGTGTGGAGCATCATAGGGGAGCGCCAAACCACTTGTTATGCACATTTCCCTTTTCTTTCCACCCTATTTGGGCTAAATGTGGGCTGGCATGCTATTGTGTGAGGCACGCAGGGAGGTGTGTGTGAGTGCAGGGGCAACTGGGGGGGGGGTTCTCAAGCTAAACAATCGTCAAGAAGATCCCTTAAGAAAAACTCCTTTGGAAAAAAAACCTTATCTTACCCCATTACTGAATTTCTTCAGAAAAAAAAAAAAACCTTGAGAATACAAGAGTTACCCCCCCCCCCCACCCCACACCCCCCTTCAGAGGGGGGCAGGTGGCAGCTGCTATGCCCCCACCCCCACCCCCTCCCTACCTCTGACTCTCTGGCAGACAGAGCCAGCAGCTCCGGCCCAAACTGCTGCCTCTAACATTAGCAAAGCTCCGAGAAGAAAAGCCATGTGGAGGTGCCCATCACTTCCAACTGCACAGTACATTACACACACTGCCCCATGATCATAAAACTCTCTTCTCTCTCTCTCTCTATCATACACTCACTTCCTGCAGGGGGGTTGACAACAGAAATGGCTGTGTGTGCTCTGAGAAAGAAAGCAACTAGTCTCTGAGATCACATCCTGATCAGGGGTCTCCTTCCAAAACCTCAAACATCACACTACGTTTTCTGCAATTCTTTGACTCTGAAGTTTAGCCAAATAATGAAAAAGTGTTTCTCAACACTCACTCTCTGTCAGGGAATTAATCTAAAAGACAACTTCCCTTCTGCGCAACTCAATGTCGTCTCCTCACACCAGGCTTCGACTTGACTGCACAGCCCCTCTGGAAGCAACCGCTGGCCGCTAATGCACACAATTCACGCACAAAGAGAAAACACAGGAAGCTCACCTCACTCTGTAGCGTTCAGCAGTCCATCACCCAGCACTTTCTCTCAAGACAAGTTTGTGGAAGCCGGCGGTAGCAGCACAGAAAGAAGCAATGGGCGAAGAGTAGCAGAAAGAAACAAAGATGAGAGCGAGAGAGAGCGAGAGAGGGGGTGTGAAAGAACAGCGGAGGAGGGGGAGGAGGAGAAGAAGACGGACTGAGTGACTGAGACGGAGCTAACGGTGGCTGACAGACTCCCAGAAACTCCCGGTCTGAGCTGAAGCGCACAAACTAACTGGCCCCTCTGCCTGCCTGCCTCTCCAGCTTGACGTCAGTGCAGTCACATGACCTCGTTCTGGTGTGGAGTGGGGGGGGGGGGGGTAGCGAGAGAGACGGAGAAGCCTGTGTTGCCGTGGTAACAGGCACACTGCACAGAAATGATTTTCAATAGGTCATCCGACATGCACGCACACGCAGACAGATTCTTACATAGAGAAGATGGTAGAACCAGAGGAGCCGGTAGCAGACGCACTAATGTGGACAAGGTGAGCGGAGGGAGGATTAGAAGCTGATATAAAAATGGTTCACATTTCCATTTCTTTTTTTGACAGAAACAAAATGTGCACGAGACAAACTGCACTTTTGAACCTGTGCTCGGCCTCCTTGAAGCCAGATAAGCAACATGTTCTTTTCTTTACACCAATTCAATACCACGGTGAAAAACGAACAAAAAACAATTAACCCTATGTTCTTCAAGATTAACTCCTTAATTGCAAACTGTTTTTTTGCCAATTTATTATTAATCTCTGATGACACTCCACTTAGTTTACTGAATAGAGCTTTATAATGTAACTCAATGCAACCTCCGTACGTTAGCTGTTGGCTGCGTTATCACACCGGCTGCTAACAGCGGTTAGCGTAACGTTTCTAGCCCTCCTGCCGATTTCAACGCGGATTTGATTCACATTGTAGCAGTATCAGGGACACTTTCCATCTTCCCCATGGTGACTGGACACCTTTTGTCTGAGCCCTGATCCACGGTACCGACAATAGATGTGTGGACATTTATTGATTCTATGATACATAATGATGCGGACAACTCAGTATCGATGCAGTGACAAACATAGTAGGGAGTTTCATTTCAGCTCAGTGTGAGTCTTTGCTGTGTTTTGCTGTTTTCTGCTGACTGTCACGCTTGTCACGCAGGTCTGAGACGGTCACTAGGCAGTCCGCTACCTTGTTGCTCCCTACAATGTCAAGAAATTTAGCCAGAGGGACATAAACAAATGAAGCACTCTATTGGTGTTGGTATCACTTTAAGGGTACTTTTGTTATTCAACACATGACTAATAAAAGAAACTATATCTGCACAAACTAGGAGGAAGAAGAAGAAACGAATAAGAAAGTAAATAGCCTTCATTACTTCAGGGAAGTGGGGAATACAGTGGCTGCAGTTTCAATTGTTTTTATTTCATTTATATATTAATACAGTGAGACAAGCTGACGCGGCACACCTCAACACAGAGATCAGATATAAGTAGAAGACTACGACTAACAGCCAGTCGGCAGTGGTGATATGGGTATGATTACGTCTTCATGTCTCATTAGCAGAGTAGAGACTAAACAGGCATCATGTCTTAATCATGCACATCGGCCTGAACTCTTTCAGGTACTGTAGCAGTGTTTGGCAGAAAGATGTCAGAAACGTTCACACTTTCACACAGTAACAGACGGCTACTCAAGTAGACTTGAGGCGGCAAGACTCTGCTGTGAGTGAATAATCCACAAGTAAATTAAAGCAACATCTTGAGTTTTTGGGAAATGAACTTATTTTTCTTTCTTGCCCGGAAAGATTATCACCACTGTCATATTCAGCCTAACATAAAGAGTAGAAACAGCCAGGGCTCGATATTAACATTGTTTCCCTTAGTGTCCCACAACTGTCCCAGACTTAACAACCAACATCTCAAATTGACTCCGACTCTACATATTAAATTTAGCTTCATTACAAGCAATTTATTATAAACTAAGTGAGTTCACTCGCATCACTCCATTGACTCTCTCTTGTCCCCCATGGAAGTTCAGATAGTTCCCTCGTTCCCTGCACTTACAAAAAACACACACACTGCGGTATTTACATTCTGTAGGTTGCAATATGTATGTTACCTGTTGGTAAACGTTTTTTATCCACTAAAGTAATGGACACAATTATTCTACAGCAGCCGTAACAGCTTTTTTACTTTGGCCTTCACAAAACTCGTGTTTTTTTCATCTCACTAGTCTGTGGCTTCAACTCTGTAAAATAGACAACCATGATGTAAAAACATGTTCATTTTTTGTAATGATGAGTTTCTCTACTGTCCCAGAATTGTCCCAAACACTGTATCGTTGAGTCCCAGGTCCTATATTCTAGTCCGATCCAGTCACTGCTGTGAGCAAAGAGATAGCCATACAACCTGTTGCTTGTATACTGTGTTGTTGGTACAGTAAGTGAGTAATTAGTGGGCAGATTCTTAGATTAGAGAGTCATCTTTTTGCTAAACTAAGTTATTGGGCTGCTGGCGGTTGCGTATTTCTTAAAATGTCAAACTATTCCTTTAACAAATAGAATAACGGATATAATATTCTATTTTAGATCATTCCAGTTTGACTATAACGAATGTCAGTTATAAGATAAACTGATTCAAGGCTTTCTATCTACAGGTTTATACATGAGGGGGTGCAACATCAGATTACCTGAAGGGCTGTTTGAAATGTGTCCAATTAACTAATTGCATTGTTGATTGTCACAGTAAATATTGTGATACTGGTATGTGTTGCAGCTCCAGTAAAACATCATGTCTTTAGTGTTTGTTCTTTTAGATCTATAAATCATTTTTATTTTTCAAGTATCTGTTAAATAGGAGCAGAGGACCGTCTTGGTGCACGCATGTGCGCGTTTACATACAGCAACTCGGTATTCCTCTGGTGGAGAAATGTGCTGTGCATTGTGTGGGAAGGCCAACCAAAGAACCTCCTTGCCCCCTTCCTCCGCTGACCCCAGCTTTGGGCTGATTACGTTCTTCTGAATAGCATCTGCTGGCCAGTTGAATGGAGTGCCGTGGGGCCCAGATTAGGGTGGGGCAGTGCGGAGGGTTAGCCGAGTGAAAACCACCCGCCACTGGACTGCTGTTAGTAAGGGTATGTACGGCTGACTGAGAGGCACATGGATAGAGACACGAGATGAAACGGTGCAGGGAAAAGTCATTTAATAAAGCCTGC